ATTATATTATATTATTATTTGAGACGCATCCAGGAACAGAAATTTGGCTTCAATAAAAACTTATTTTATATAAAACTTTGTTCTGTCCACTCGTCTTCAGAGCAGAAACCAAACGACACCTTTCTCTCGACTTTACGTAACTTGCTGAACGGGTCGAAGCAGAAGCTCATCTTTGGTTGACGAGGTTTTCTGGTGGTTTTAAAAATCCAAAGAGTGGCTGTACAAATACCAGCATTTCTAATACATTCACTCTGACACACGTAATAATGAATCTTGTCAGAACACGACAAAGAAAAAAAAGAATAAAATACCAACACAGGATGGCAGCAGCTTGTAAGATCACCGTCTGATAAATCAGAAGCTTTGGAGCTGATACTGCAAATCCTCCATCTCTGTGATCCACCTGAACCAGTTAACAGCAGCTGTTGTGAGGGTTTAAGAGGCCTTGAGTCGAGGCAAAGAAGTTCTCCAACGTACCCAGGTGCACACCAGTGCATGGCCTTATGAACAAATAAAATCAGAGCGTTGGTAGCGTTGGTCGGGCTGCAGGTGCACGAGTCAGGTTTTCTGTTTTTCTGCTATCAGTTGAAGCTTTACAGCAGCTTTCTGCACCAGCTGCAGATGAGACAGAGAGGTTCTGATAACACAGTGAGCTGCGTAATAGAGCCTTGAGGAGCTTAATGCAGGAGGGACAGTCTTCATGTCACTGAGTCAGAGGTTAGATTTCCATCTTGCAGTGTTAACAGGGATCTGAGGGGGGTGATAGGCAGGTGGTAAAATAGTTAAAATAGTCTTCAAAAGTCCTCACAAATAGTTGTTGTTGTCTCAGGACAGAAAGCAGAGCGAGGCTTCGGCAGGAAGCTGAGTGTGAGGACCAAGACTGTGGGACTGTTGGAGATAACAGTGGAAACGTACGTCGCTCTTGCAGTTTAACTGAATGCTGGTAATTTGCTAGATGGTCTTTAAGAATTTAGACCTGTTGTCTGTTTGACTTCTGCAGTTTGGGTTGTGGTTCTTAAAGACTCAGGTGCAACAGAGTCCAGGATGTTTTCCACAGATGGACTTCAGGTTATAAATCAGTTGGTCTGTGTTTCACTGAAGTTTTTGTGTGTCAGAGTGATGAGCAAAAAAAAAAAGTTCATTCAAATTGATGCTGCCACCATGTTTCAGTCTGTCCTCCTTCTGTGTCCATGCTTCAGACTGGAACCTGACCTCCTATGGTTCTCCATCTCCGTATGAACGTGGGGAAGCAGCTCTCATCCTGCCCATCGCCCTGCAGCACCTCACGCCACCAGTTGTCTCCATCATCGGTATTGGATGTGTGGCGGCCGCCGTCATGTCATCAACTGACTCCGCTTTGCTCGCTGCGGCTTCTGTTTTCTCCTCCAACATATACAAGAACATCCTGAGGCCTCAGGTGAAACCTTTAGTCTACCAAAGATTAGCAGTGGAATGAAGTGGCCTGAAGAGGAACTACGTAGGAAGTAAATACAGCAGTCAGTCACTGACAGCTAATCTGTTCCTCTTTCTTTTCCTTCAGGCATCAGACAGAGAGATTCTGTGGCTGGTCCGTGCTGCTGTGGTTGTTGTGGGTGTGGTCGGTACATCGCTGACCAGCCTGAACAACAGCGTGGTCGTGTTCTGGATGCTTGGTGCTGAAGCGGCCTACATCATCATCTTCCCTCAGCTGGTCTGCGTCCTCTTCTTTAAAGTCTCCAACGGTTACGGGGCTATTCTAGGTGGGCTGCTGGGATTGGGCTTAAGACTGCTTAGCGGAGACGCAACACTTGGACTGCCAGTTGTCCTCCAGTTCCCAGGATGCACTCT